GAGTGAATAACAAGTAAAAATTGTGGATTTGAATCCCTCGTACGGTAAGTTAGCCACCAGCAGATGTCAAACTCTTCATCGGTGGTTGTTTTAAAGTGCTTTATAAATAAAGGTGATGATGATGATGATCGGGCCACAGTTTAAACAATAGCTATTCTCTTTATTTAAGAGTACTTTGCTATATCTTGAGCCGCCCCTCATATCTTTGTATTTGTCTCCTATGGAGCCCGACTTTTTTGCAAACTTTTTGAGCAGTAGTTCTCCAAACTTCATTCCTCTGGCTGTTTTCAGAGGAATGTTTTTATATATTTATTTTTTTAAAGTCATGTAACACTGACCCGTAAATCACTCAAGCATAAAAAAGGCGCTTAACTTGTGTCTACGTCTGTACGCATTACAGATAACTTGGCACAGAACGAACTTTAAATTCCCATTTTATGCATGTTGTTACTAACAGCCTGTCACAAGAACATATAATGTGTTCCACTACTTGAATCTATATAAAATGTTAAAGATAACATAGTTTAACAGGCATAAAATTGTTTTTTTTTTGCACAAATACGGTGATTTCGAAAGACTTATTAGCTGAAAACTTGGTGTGTAGCATGTCCTTAGAAAAATTAGGAAACTGGATAAATGAAGAAGTGTCAGGTCTAAAAAACATAAAACAGCAGATTAACATTACAAGGAAATATGTTATCATGTCATGTCTTATCAAGTGAGGGAATTATGAATGTGGATCCCAAAGTGGATTTGAGATCTTAACACACATATATGTGGATAACACATTATTTTCTCCCCACTAAACTCTTGATGTTTTAGTGGTAAACACTTTTTTTGTGGGATTTTTGATGGACATCTGGGCCATGAAAAGGCAGATTAAATGAGACTGAACAGTTGATTAAGATGTAACCTGGCAACAAGACACTTTTTCATTTAAAGCCTTGAAACGCTGAGTGCTTCTGTAAATGCTGCTATGCACCAAAATTCAAAGGGAAAGATGAGCAGTAAGTGTAGCTGACAGGTATAAGTAATAACATTCAAAAGGCTCCAGTCTATTTAGTTGAGCTACTTTTTTTACACCCCATAAATATATTTAAAAAATGTCTGTCTCTTGTTCTGGTACCTTTTTCAGTGAGTTTTATATCCACTCTGGCTTTACCGTTATCCATTCAATGTTATTGAATTCTTACAACATGCCTTCCCAAGTCTTCCCATATTACATCTTCATATCTTCAAATATATTCAGCCACTGTGGGTCTCAACTTTACAGTTTTCTCTTGTTTTGCCTGTTGTTGCTAATTTGCGGCAAGGCACATTGTACGCATTGTAATTTTACCTCTGCCTTATTGCCAATATTTTCTTATTTTTAAACATGAGAAGGGCCTCCAAGACACAGATGAAATCAATCAGCCAACTGAAAACAAGAAAATATCGGCATTGGAACATCCGGTTCTGTCGCCCTTTCACAATAATCTCTGACACGCAAGTTTGTAAACCACAATCACATTTCTATTCGTTTTATTTTCTGTGAGTGGAAGAAAGAGACATTATTCAGATTATTACTATTACACAAATCTTCCAGGATGCAGATTTCTGTCTCTTTTACCTGCTGCTACAGCCATTATGTGAGTTAGAGCCTTTAATTTGGAACTCTGCCAGCCTGAAAGCCAGAAAGAAAAGTTATTGTCTTAAGATGTGGCTTTTCTCTGGAAGTGATTTGTAAAAGGGGCTCTGAAAGTGACGGTGAGATCACCAGCATACAAATAACACTTTCCCTCAATAACATGAGTAGGGAAAAAAGGGCATGGAGAAGTGAATTTTAAATAAGGGTGCATACACGTTTCAACAGCTGCCAGTCAGGTTTGACCATCTGGTGAATGAACAATAAATTATGTTGACTCTGTTTGCGCCATAACCTGCTGTGGGACTTTTATAACTCTTAAAGATTTTTATCTTAATATTCTGGGAATGTGTTTCTTCTTTATCTCGTCAGAAATCCTGGAGTCAGCCAAGTCTGCTAAACTGGTGAGTCAGATAACGCTGCACTGTGACACAAAGTTTGCAGGAAAGCCGAGGCAAACGTGCCGCCTGACACCTGAATACACACACACCCACACTGCACGTACACACATTCATGCATACAGACTCCCACCTGTACACACACACACATAGACGTACTAAAGTAAGTGCTATGTGTTGGTGTTTATTGTTTGGCGATTTGCAGTCTGCAGGGAGATTCATATGTGAGATATTTAATTCATTTCTGATGGCTGCATTTTCACAGGTTTTGTTAGGATCAGGTGTTTTAAGTGCCTGCAGTAGATTAACATTTAATTTGGCTTCATCATAGCATGGCTGTGAATTTAAAAGGTGATTCCTACATGAAACTAGTGTAACATAACACTGTGATGTGGTAATTAGTTCTAATTTACAATAAAAAATAAAGTAATGGGATTATTAAACAATATGGAATATTATATGAGGCTCTTGCACATGTACATCTGTAAATGTTTCCACTTAATTCATCTTAATGTAATTATAGTTTAATCTGAGTTTACCAAGTTCAGAAATGTGCTAAACCAAATTCTAGCTCTAGAGTTGAATGAGTTCTCTCTGTCCAGTAGAGGGCGCCGTTTACTCACGTAAGTCCAGTGTTACTCTGCATGTTTGGTAGACACTAAGAAAAATGTAGAAATAATCCAGCACATCAGAGCCATGACTCAGGAGTAAAAAAGCACTGATCTAACTAATAATTTATTTAGTGTGCTTGACTTTTGCCTTCAGGTCAAACTGACACTTAAATCCATTGCAGTAATTTTTCATAGGAATTGTTATATGTTCGTTATATGTTTTAATAGAAATCTGGTGCTGAAGAGAAGTATACTGGTTAAATTTACTTTAAACCTGCAGTCTGTTAATATGGTGTAAGAGTTCACTTTTGATGAAAAGAGCAAAAGCAAACATGGTTTATGGATGTGACTATAGTGATATATGGATATCTGGATTTAAAGGAATTTTGAGAAGTCTTGGGTTTGAATTAAACTTTAAAGTTGTACACATCAAGGCAAAAAAAATCTCTTTGCTGTTAAAGGTTAATCCACTGACAGTCCTGGATTCAAATGTCAGCATGTTGAGAGAATCTTTGCACAGGGAATAACCTGTAATGATAAGTTCACTCTGTCAAAGGGAAACCAGAACGGAGGCATTTGATTTAAAAACTATATTCCAAATTAGTCACATTTAAATGACTTTTTTCTATGACTAGATATGTTGTTTTATTTATGCAAATTGTACAGTCATTGTAAAAAGAAAGTTAACTGTAAGGTTTCACGTATGAGGACATAATGAAAATAATCTGGTCCTTAGTAAGTGATAAAGTGAAAACAGTCACTTCAGGTTTTTGTTGCTGTTGGTGGTTTTACAAGGTACTGAATCATGGAGTGTGCTTATGTTTTTCACACGCTGCTTCTGATTTTTCACTCAGTTTTTGTTAAATATATTACAAATTGTACTGTGTCTTGTTTATTGTTCATCTTAGGTTGTGTTGATCTAATTTTAATACCTGGTAATGACCAGATAATCTTTTATGTCCTAATATGTAAAACCTTACCCTTGAAAGAAGCAGTACTTCATGTTTACATATACTTTATTTGTAGGATCTCATTGTTTCCATTTTTATTGCTTGTGTCATAGAAAATGGAAGAATATATATTATTTTGTTGACCAGCCATGGGAGAATGGCTCAAATTATTTTAATAATAGGCAATGGAAATATTTTTACACAAAAGTGTAGTTTAATGTGGAGAAAATGAACAAAATGAGAATGAAGAAGTGAGTATGAAGAGATTTGTGTTTGTGAAAGTTATTGAGGTCCAACACACAGGTCCAAACCACCACAGTTCCCATCACCTCCGGCATGCTGCTGACAAACTCCTGATCTTTAACCTTCACCCTCCCTCCCTCCTCCTTCCTTTCCTCGTCTCCTTACCTCCTTTGACCGACGCAGCGAGGAGTGAAACCCAAAAAGGTGCTGCATGTTTCTCTAACCTCGGTACAGTGGTAATGTTATGATGATTACCGTAGTAGCCGTGGTAACCGTGGCTCTGAATGGCCTCGCTGCTGCATGGCAACAGAGCCTCACCCCTCATTTTGCCCATGACTCCTCGCAGCCTACCACACCGCCATCTCTGGTCTCTGTACTGAAGCGCTCTGTGTTTGTATGAATGAAAGCTGTTTCCCATCACCTCACCGCCCTCTCTGCTCTCTGTTCGGTGCAGCTCTGTCCAACATTGTCTGCTTGGTCTTCTGCTTTCTGTGCACATTCAAACATGCTAAGTTTGCTAAGTGTCCAAAGGTTTTTCAGAGGCTCTGTGAACGTGCAGTGGTTCCTGCGTGGAACCACTGTTTTTTAACAATAATGGTTACCACTTACCACCTACTGCCTCTGCAAGGTTGCATCTATAAAAGTAAAATGACACACATGAGCTAACAAAAAAGGACAAAAAGCAGTCCATCATTATCATGTAACTATCTCAGGGATGTCAAACAGATTTTACATTATGCACCACATACAGCCCATTTTGTTTTCTGTTTGTTTGGATGGGCCAGAGTGGTGAAAATCCTCTTTGTGTCGATGTAAAGAAGTTTAACTGCACATTTAATCTCCGCAATATCAAAGTAAGAAAAAGAAGTATGATTTCAACAGTATGTCTCAGGTTTTCTACATGATGAAGAAATGTGTCAGCACAACTGTTACGATCTCCCCCCACTCGTTAAAGCCATGGTCTGCTGTTTGGTTGGCATGGGAGGGGAGGGTCACCTGTGTCTTACAGGCTGTAAAAGCTGTTAAAGTCCTGGCAGCATGTTACCCTCACTGTCCTGTAGTTATAAAGCAGAAGGTTTCGTTAATTCACAGAATCTGTTCTATTATTTTACTGTGGACAGACTGTAAAAAAAAAAGTATAGTAGACAATGAAAAAAATGGAAATTGTCTCATTTAACTGTTTTTCTATTGGCTAATTATGTTGGTGTAGTGTGAATAGCTCTGGGGAGGTCTTTATTATTGTGAAAAATACAGTTAAAAGTCTAAAATTTATATCCTCCTTCACATTCTCCAAAGACGGGCCAGATTTGAGTCTTTGCCAGGCCGTTTCTGGATCTTATGTTCTACACCTTAGCTTTAGACTTTTTGATTGGCAATAGATATTTTTTGCAGCAGATTAATTGCATGAAATAAAAATAACTGTAAAGATCAGGACATGTTTTGGGGTTCATGGGTTTTGGTCCTGCCCTCTCATTCACTCCTCTGTCACTTTTGGGATATTTCTGCTCAGTCTAGATACTAAGTTGAATATTCACGCATTTTTGATAACATTAACATATCTTGCAACCTATTATGGAAGTTAAGACTTTTATATTAAACCCTGAAGTCTCTGTTTGTGTGAATGAGATGGATTAGTTCGGTTGTTGTTGAAAAGTCCAGTGATCCAGCCTTTGATTCTTGAATGACAGCCAAGGTTGTTTTAAGCATCTTAGAGAACCGCAGCTCTTCTGTCTTTTTCATGTGATTCCACACTGACTGCATGATGCTGACTTCACTGCTCTGTGACGGCTGGACCATCTGTTGCACCACTCCCTATTACTCTTGTTAATAAAGGTCTTTATTAAAGACAGGGTGGTGTGTACGTTATCCTGTTACACAATAATTTTGAGACCAGCCACAAAGTTACAATATTATAAGGAAATTATATTTTCTATTTGTTCCCACACGTCTATCATGAGATCCAAGCTGGTTGTCCGCTGCTCTTTGTCATTCCTGGCTGACTCATACATGCAGGCGTTCCTTGAAAATGTCAGAATGCGACTGAGGTGAAGTGAGCTGCCCTCCTGCCTGCAGTAACCTGCAGAGTATAGATTTCCCGTCAGCTCGGTTCTTCTTTATCGTCTCCTGGTCTGCATCTCCTCCTTGGCAGGCTGACTTTGAACATCAGGAGGGAACTTTAAAGCAGGAGGATCAAATGTTCAGTCACAGAGCCGGTGAAACTGAGGAAGAGTAGGAAATGTTACAGACAAGACCAAAATGGAAACTCAGCGAAGGAAAAGCAAAGTAAAATGCTTTTGTACTGCTGTTCTGAAGCTTGACCCTTAAGCCATTATTTTTCTCAGCTAAGGTTTTGGGCTTATTTATGCTTTCTGGACAGTAATTTTATCTCCTTTTGTTTTGTTGAAGCTGCATTGCAGTGACCTCGGAGGCAGCGATCCTCCTTCTGTGTGCTGGGAAAGCAGGAACCTGATACATCTCCACCCATCTCAGCATCCACTCTGTCTGTCGGCCGCTCTCGCTCCATCGCTCTCAGAGTAGCACTTAGTCTGTGTGCTGGAGAGAATTTGAGTGGATTATGAAAAAATATGTTTAATATTTGAACAGGACAGTTTTCTCTAAGCTGCTCTGTAATAGATACTCATAAGCTGTTTTTTTCTCTGCCTCCGCAGCCTGACGTCCTGTTGCTTGTTTTGTTTTTTTCTCTCCACAATCAGATTCCTAATACTCTTAAACATCGCCCGTTTACTAAAACCTCATTGGACATTTTCTCCCCATGTTTTTTTGCCCATGACGTGAAAGTATTTGAGGTTTAAAGCTCACGACTAATCAGAGTATCTTATACTTTGTGGATTAATCCTCTTAGAGATCCCTCTCTCTTCCTGCTGAGCTGTTGGTGCAGAGCAACAGATTAGTGAGGAAGGTATCACGATTGCTTCCTTAGACGGCTCTTTAGGAGACTGTCGAACTATTAAATCTCCCTTTTAATTAAAAAAAAACCCCTTTTGCTACAGTTAATGTTACTTTTAAAGTTCAGATCTTATCTCTGGCTGTCATGATGTTTGCATTTCTGAGTTTTTATGTGAGGCTTTCTTAACCTCTGTATTCTGGGTATGTGTCTATGTAAAGCACGGTTAGGCGCAGTTCAAAAATAGCAAGACTCACTAAGAAAGGTATACCTCATAAAGCCGCTCAGGTGTCGCGCCCCCCTACCCCTTTTGTTTTCGTCAGCCTCATTTTAATGAACCTTTTTGAGGATCTGCCAGCGTTGCTAGGAGATAAGAGAGGCTTGCATCAGCATGGCTGCTCATTTTTCCCTCTCACCTCCATTTACAGCCCCGCCCTCCTCTGCCTCACATCATCCCTTTCCTCCCCTGTCTGTCCCCAATCACCACTTCCCACCCATCCCTCCCTCCCCCTCTCCCTCCCTCCCCCCTGTCTGTCTGTGTTAGAGGTGGTGATGAGTGGGTGAGCAGCAGGGAGGGAGGAGGGCACACAGTGATGTAATGCAGGAGCAGCTGACAAATCCCAACAAGCGAGAGAGAGAAGAGGGGGGGAAATGAGACAGAGGGTTGGAGAGCGAGGTTAGGGGAGGAGAGGCGTCTCCGGTGTAGCAGGAAACGGCAGCAGGCTGGAGGCTCGTGGCAGAGGGATGTTCGAGTCCTAATCAGAGGCGAGAGCAGAAGAGAGGTGCTGACAGAGGGCGCCGGCAAATGGATTATGAGAGAAAGAGGACATAAAGGAGGACGATAGCAGGAGGAAGGGACGAACAGAAGGAGGGAGGGGGAGCCTGGGAATAAATCGCCGCGGCCATTTGCACCACTGCAGCTCCCCGGCCTGAGCCGCTGCCTGTCTGACTGTTCAGCTTCAGCTTTCCGCCTGTCTGTTCTGAACCCGCTGTCTGTGGATCTTTGCCTGTTTTATCAGCTTCCTGTTTGTGTGTGTGTGTGTGTGTTTGTATGTTTCTGGGTGACCGTGTGTGTGTATGTCTTCTTCCCTTGCAAAAATGATGAGACAGACTCCTGCACCCCGGAAGGTACAGAACTCCATGTGATGCTCTTTTTCTGTTGGGTTTCTTGTGTTGATGTTATCATCCTTTTCGTTTTGTTGGCAGAGCTGTTGTAAAGGTCATGTGTCCTCATTTTGTTTAAGGTGGAATTGCCTTTTTCCCCATTTTTCTTCCCAGACCACTGATATTTAATATTCCCAGCACAAGTAAAAGTGTTTGCAGCTCAGCTGTGCTCTTTCTTTGACTTCAAAGTTAATTTTGCCCATGCTGTTGGTAGCTGTCCATGCTTCTACATGTGTTTGCAGTTGTTGAGTTGCCTTGTATCATATTTATTGTTTTATTTAGCCTCATCATACGGAAGCTATGTCTTAGACTATACGTTGATTTCCATCACTGTTTGCAGATGTGGCAAACAAGCAGATGTGGTTTGAGTACAGTTTGTTCTGGCAACTATAGCACAACATGGTGGTTTAAGAGGACTGACAGATCTTAGGTGGTACAGCTATAAGCTTGGGCGAGTTTCTGTTGGATGGTAGTGCTTTAATCCAATGAAGAACAATAACGAGCTAAAGCCCAGATGGAGATGGATATTGACTGAGTGAACTGAGGGCAGATAGTGGAAGATAATTGGATGCAACAGATCATTTTACATGAATATGGTAGAAAGTATACAAGTGTCTGGTCAGGCTTGGGTTAAGTTTAAATGCTGAGCCAATCATCATAGACGTAATTTAATATGAAGTGATAGTCACAAGAAAAGATTTATATTGTTAACTGTAGATTTATTGTAGCAGTGCCTGCTTCAGAATTTCCTGTATCGTCAAAGATGGTTTCCTCTGTAATTTAACATTAACAGACAATGGTTAATTGGTACATTTGTAATATATTATAAATCTTTTCCATGTGCAAATCTAGACTTACTAGACTTACTAGTCGCAAGACTTACTTCCAGGATCTTTAAAGAAAATAATTTGAACTTTAGTATGCTGTAGAAAAACAGACTATGATTTTAAACTGCTGAATAGCGACTCAGTTTCTCAATTTCATGTCACTGGAAAATAATTAGGTCATGTAACCTGGGCCTAGAGATCAGTCTATGAAGCCCTGATAACCTTCGGTTAGTTGGGGAAAAATGTATTTCTACTAGTCGAATGTTGGAGGTTTTTTGCTGTTAGTAAGTGAAGTTGGGTTACAGTGCTGTACCGAGCACCTCCTTGCAGACTTATGACAGATGCCAGCTTGTCTGCATATACTCCCCAAATACTTGCTAAGCAGTAGTAAAACTGCAGAGTGTGACACAAACCATAAATGGAGACCACCAAAGTAAAAGTTTTAAAATGTGTTGCTTTCAATCTCTTATTTTGGAGACATTCCCAGTTTGCATAAGTGTTTGCAGACAAGTTGGTATCTTCTATGAAAACTGTAGTCGGCCGTGGTAGTCTGCTACCAAAACCAATCACAAGGGCATTTGTGTTGCAGCAACTTTGCAACTGGTTTCAAAAACCACTCGCCAACCCACTGAGGAATACACATTCCTCACAGGGGGTTGTTGGCTAGTCTATAGGCCTGGGTGACTGAAGACTTGTGGACAAGTTACCAGGGAATCTATAGTTTGACTGCATTTGTCATTGTCATCCTCGAGGTAGGAAATCAAAAATAGTGAAACCCATGTTATACAGTGCAAAGTGTTTCTTTACAAGCTTAACTGCAAATCCTGTCATCCACCCTGCGGTGTAGCATGTCTGAAACACATGTTGTACCCGAATGCTGCTGTTACCTCAGCAGTATGAATCTAGTTCGACATAGATGAAGCTAACTGAGACACAATGCGGTCATTGAGGTCACAGCGGCAGTACCAGTCAGTGTCTCTGTTGTTGCCAAGACTGTGGTCATATGGGTGGATGAGATGAGGCCCAGAGATCAGTTAAGACAATAAAGATCATTAGAGAAACAGAGCAGAGATCTGTGTAGATGTTATTATGATAGATGATAGTAATATAAGTAGAGGAGGCGTCTTGTCAAGAAGAACAGGGTTTCAACTGTGAGTGAAGCAGCAAATACTCAACGATGTCCTAAAGTCATATCAGCTTCATCCACTCATTCTTACTTTTTATTTTTTTTGTAATCTTTCTTTACTATGACTTTGCCTTGAATCACTAACCCTGGTTGTTTGTTTCCTTCCCTTCCCTTCCCTCCTCTCCTCCTGCTGCCCCTTGACCTTTACCTGCTTCCTCTCCTCTTCTTCAGACCACGGCCAGAAGGCCAAAGGTGAGCCCAGTCTTCAACATCATCAGGGTTTCCACCTTTTGTCAGCCTGCGTTATTTGAACATGTGATTATTATTTTCACTTCATGAGGCAGATCAGATTTATGCACATAACTCATAACACGAATCATATTTTTGTTCAAAAGCATAAAAGACAGTCCACTTTAATCTTACAGATTTTACACTTTTTAAAACATTTTATGTTTATGTCAACACTACATTTATTCATCTAAAGTTTGCTTTATTTCTTATTGCTTTCCATCTGCTGCACACCTTTTTTCATATATTTTCAGAATATTTTCAGCACTTCTCATTTAGTATTACATCGGTATTTGTTTTCTCTATTTTAAGGTCTTAATTGTGTCTGGGGTCACTATTGAGGTCTACTGAAGAAGGGCCCCTTTGTATATTTTTTGGGGTGAAATTTACAACAGCTAATAAACAACTGAAATTCTCCTTTTCAGGTCTGAAGCTAACAAAACAAGGAGCATGAATAATCAAATATCTGTTAATATATAGACATTTAATATTATACAGATGTTCAGGTCTCAGTTAGAATAAAAAAATGTAATGATAAATAATTTAACAATTATTTTGATGTAGGTGATTTTATAGAGAAGCTAAATCCAGCCCCAAAGTTGAGTTAAATTAAGAGCACAGTGCAAAAGTGGTGCACCTTACCCAATTTCTTTACATTTTGCTTGGACAGAGAAAGAGGTGCAGTGATTAATTAAATCATGTGCAAACATGAAAGAAAATGCAGCATCTATGGCAGAGTTCGTACAATTTTAAAGACCGTGTTGTTATGACCATGTTTTATTCTTCAACATATTTATTTTATTGAGCTATACATTTTTTTGCAGTCTGTTAGTAACAATGTGCTTAATGGTACAGTTTAAAAGCTGTCCTGTTTAATCGGGCTCCTTGGAAAGAAAATATAAAGAAATGAGGGAAGACTTTTCCACAGCACAAAGTGTTTTTCCTCTTTTTAAAATTTTTTTTTAAATTCTTGTTGTTGATTGGACTTTTTTCTCGATTCCTTCAGCAGCCCAGCCGACCTGCAGGAGGGAAGGGGGCCGCGTCTGGCTCGGCTTCAGCCTCCGCTGGGGAGATGAGCAGCAGCGAGCCCAGCACGCCGGCACAGACCCCCCTGGCTGCTCCGGTCATCCCCACCCTCCACTCCCCTGGAAACCCTCCAGCTCCCATCCCCAGCAAGGTCAGTGCGTGTCTGGATCAGAAGTTCTATTCACCCTGCGTTGGACAGATCTGATGTGTTTTACTGTTTATCTGTACATTTTTCTTTTCTTTGAATGCTTATTGACCCATTATGAAGGAAGCTTCTGTGGCAGCACTTAGTCCACAACAAGTATTTATGCGAATGAGCAAAGCCTGCTTAAAGAGGCACTACCCATAGTCACATTAATTCATTCATACATTTTGTTTAACAGGATTTAATGTACCACCACAGTCAGTGGACTCTTGAGTATAACCCACACAAGCACAGCGAAGGAGTAAAATCAGATGTGACAACGTTGTCAGTATCTCTCCTCTAAATTTAAGTGTATTTTTGACCCAGCTGTCACTTTGTGTTGACATCATCCAGCAGAGTCAGAACGAGAGCCGAAGGCCTGAAGCTCTTTTTAGGCAACATGACAGAATTTACCTTTGTTTTTGTGAATTATCTGCCTGTTAATGTGCTGATAACAAATCAACACCAAGATTTTATGTGTCTCTTGTTTTCTTTTGCATATTAAGTTGTATTTAAACATCAGAGATTATCACATCAACCTTTTGTAAAAATCGCCTTCTGTGTGTGTGTGTGTTTTTTTTTTTTAATGAAATGTTAAAGTCGGAATAATCAGTCTAATTGGTATTTTGTCCCCTCAGGAAGATGTCACTATGGAAACACAGGTGCAGCGAAGTGGTGTGATGTGATGTTTCTGCACTTGAAGTATTGAAGTGTTGTTCTGCTCTCACTAACGTTTTAATCAGCTGAGGCGTGACTCCTTTTTTAACCTGTGTGTGTGCAGTGATTGTCTCTGCTGCACGTTTATCACAGGATTCAGAGTGTTTAGAGGAGTGTGATTATCTGCAAGTGCACACTGGTTGTGTGATACAGCATGTGTGTGTGTGTGTGTGTGTTTTCTCTTCACAGGTGAATTTTCTGCAGGTTTAATATTTAATGCGTAAGTGCTTCTAACACAAGGCTTTAAACCTGATCCACTGCTTTCGGTCTTCCCTCTGAAGAATCATTAAAGAGAAATGATTCATAAAAAGAAAAGAAAATGGAAGTTTGAATCCTCCTTTTGTGTTTTAGAGAGTTTCCTCTAATATGTGTTTATTTAAATCTCACTTTTCCCCTTCATCTTGTCCATATAACTGTTACCCAGGAAGAGGAGGCGCTGCGTAATCAAGTGAAGGACCTGGAGGAGAAGCTGGAGACCCTGAAGATGAAGCGCACGGAGGACAAAGCAAAACTGAAGGAGCTGGAGAAGCACAAGATCCAGCTGGAGCAGCTGCAGGAGTGGAAGACCAAGATGCAAGAGCAGCAGGCCGAGCTGCAGAAGCAACTCAAGGAGGCCAAGAGAGTAAGGAGCCACAGATGGAGGAGGAGGGAGAGGATGCAGTGTAGATGCTCAGGCTCAGCTGAAAAAGTGTTAAAAAGCAGCAGCTGACTGCTAACAAAAACTAGCCAGCAATTGCGTTCCTTCCTTAGCTTCCAATTAACTACAATTCATTTAAAAATCTTATTAATTACTCTTAATTTAAGTCTGTAGGTTTTGAGATTATTGGGCCTAAACTCATCTCAACCTTTATTGCAGATTATTTTGGTGAAGTGTTCACAGTGTGTTTGATTAACAGCACCTGGCTGCCACATACCTTCTTACTTTCTGTAAAATTATTATTAAAGGAGTTTTTAGAGGTTAAAGAGAAGCAACAAAAACAAATGTAAATATAACAAATATAGTTTATAACTGGCTTTTAATAAGGGGGAAAAGTGTACGATTTGCATGCAGTTTAAATAACATGCAGTTATGTAATACTTTGTTGAAACTAAGCTTTTCTGTGTGTAGGAGGCTAAAGAAGCTCTGGAGGCAAAGGAGCGTTATATGGAGGAAATGTCGGACACAGCGGACGCCATCGAGATGGCGACGCTGGATAAGGAGATGGCTGAGGAGAGAGCAGAGTCTCTGCAGCTGGAGGTGGATTCCCTCAAGGAGAAAGTGGATGAGCTCACCATGGACCTGGAGATCCTCAAGCACGAGATTGAGGAGAAAGGTACTGAAGAGCTGATGTTATCATTGCAGATGTTGTATCCGGGCCTCATTTCTGTTAAATCAGGACATGAACCATCAATACTAATACTGAAGTTTGAGTCTTGGTTTTGAAGTATGTAAAATGAACATCAATTTAGAGTGAAAAGTTTGCAAGCTTTAATGACGAGCTTTTCTTTTTTGTTTTGTTCTTGGGTTTCCGTCAGGCTCAGATGGTGCCGCCTCCAGTTACCATGTGAAACAGCTGGAGGAGCAGAACAGCAGGTTGAAGGAAGCTCTGGTCAGGTAGGTCTGCTGATGTCTTCATGAAAGCCACAATTATACTGAACTGAACTTTAATTCAGAACTTTACAAGCTCCAAAACACTGCTGCGTGTTTTTGTGTCCAGGATGCGTGACCTGTCTGCGTCAGAGAAGCAGGAACACGTGAAGTTGCAGAAGCAGATGGAGAAGAAGAATGTGGAACTTGACTGTTTGAGAAGCCAGAAGGAGAAACTGCAGGAAGAGATGAAAGCGGCAGAAAAGACCATCGATGAGCTGAAAGAGCAGGTCAGTGGACCTTATGACTGAGCTGCGTCTTTTCTGACTTGTCACACTGTAGAGGAAGTGAAAGGTAGCTCCCCCCAGGCCTGTGATCTTTTAATTCGTGGGATGGATAACAGCAGAAAAACAACATGTGCTCTGTTTCAGGTGGATGCAGCCTTAGGCGCAGAGGAGATGGTGGAGACTCTGACAGAGAGGAACTTGGACCTGGAGGAGAAAGTCAGAGAGCTGAGAGAGACGGTCACAGAT